AGCAATCATTGAGTGCCACTTTCTGGGGGTACAAAAAGAGAGCTAGGCTCACACCTATCCCCTTCTGCTACCCCCAAGTGCACTGCTCCCTCCGCCTTTGAACTTCTACCCAAACTGGTACTGTGACTCACCTAGACCAGAGATGGTAGAGGTTCCCTCTCATGTCACCTCAGTTGGTTCACAGCGACACCTAGAGTTGTGTTGGGGATTGTAAAGCTGAAGGGAAAAACACGGTGCTGAGTGTGTGAGATCAGCCAAATATTGGCTGGTCTGCGTGCTGGCCACACCCTTGGCAGGCCTCTGGCTAACTCTTCTCTCACGGTGCCAGGACACCTCAGCGTGACAGCCTTTTGCTCCTACCTTTCATCCACTCTCCCAGCTGTCCAGCCCTCATAGGTCCTTAGGCCTCAGAGAAGCAGGACCTTCAACTGGACCAGGAAGTGGGAGGAGGACTGAATGGATGGGGAGGGGAAGATTAGAGGAAGGACATCCTAGGTGGAAGAAGTTGCTTGGGCAAAGGTGATGAGATAGGACATACCTAGTGGCCTGGGGGCTGTAGACTGTGGCGTGGGGGCGTGTGGAGAAGGTCGCTCGGGGCTGCTGCAGAAATGCCTGTTGTGCCAGGCCAAGAAGCTTGGACTTGATCCTGAAGGCAGGAGAGTGGGGATGGCAGAGGGACATGGGTGCTGGGGGTAGTTAGTTGCTCCTGTTTCACCCGAGAAAATGGCCTAAGGATCATGCAAGGGAGTCCCGGAGAGGGAGAGTGCAGACCAGCGTTTTCCGTATTTCCACGTGCCTGTGAGACACCAGAGGATCTTGTTAAAGTGAGGATTCTAACTCAGTAGGACCGAGAAGAGGCCATGATTCTGCATTCCCCACGAGCTCCATGGTGATGCCCGTGCAGGAAGACCACCCTCCACACTTTGAGCTGCAAGTTTAGAAGGGAACCGCTGGACCCAAAGGACAGCTGCTAGGAAAGCTTCCCTCAGCCCCCTGCACAGCAGTCAACTCCTTCCCAAGCTTCACACACCTGCCAGCTCCTTAGATTCTCAGCCACTCAGATCACTAAGGTGGAGGCTCGGATCCTCCCTCTACAGGTCAGGCAGTGAGCACACAGCACGCTCAGGATGGAGGGCCAGATCACGCGTGGCACAGCCCGTGCGGACCAACCGGAGAGCTCCCACCACCCGCCGGTGCCTGCTCATGCATGCTTTGGCTCGACAGCCAAACAGGACAAAGACCCAGCCCTTCCACCTAAGAATCCTTTAATGTCTTTCTCTTAATAATGCCCAACACGAAACAGTGTTGACTACACTTTGTTTCTCCATTGTTCCTTCCTCAGTGGCCTTTATACCTGTCAGCTAGACCTTCTAATGAAGAAGCCCCAGGTGTCACCCTAACTTGACTCTAGCCAAAAGCAAAGACTTAACTGAATGGAGCCGTCCTCATGCCATGGCTCCGTAGACATTCTGGGCTAAAAAGAGCTCTGCCATCAAACATGCTGGGCATCTGGTGGATTCTATCGCCATCACTTTCCCACCGATGCACATGAGCACATGGAAGGCTTTGAAAGTCTGGCTGTGAAGGTCCCCTTTAACTGAGTTTTCCATGGGTGTTTGACCACAGCTCTTTGCTGGAGAGCACACAGGGTCCACAGAACGTTGAGGCAATGCTGAGCCAGGCCCTTCAATTAGTTATGTAGTTAATCAACGTCCTTTCTCTGCCAAGTTATTGGAAACATTGAAAATGGCTGAGACACCACGTTAGTTCCTCCACAGCCATTAGGTGCCAGGAGCCCCAGGTGGGGAACTCTTGCTGGAGAGGTAATGACCAGAGAGCGTGAGGGTGGGGCAGGGGTGGAGGTACAGGAGGAAACTTTAGGGTGGCAAGGGAAGACCTCTCTGAGGAGGTGAGGCCTGCTCTCAATCCCAAACTATGGCTGTTCCTGGGGCCTCAGAGGGCACAGGGTCAGAGGGCACAGAGCAGGGGAGGGGACCTCTGGATAAGTACCCCGGAGCAGGCTGGGCAGAGCAGCCGTGCTCGTTGCGGGGAAAGCATCAGTGGTTGGGGGGAAAGGCAGGCAGCTCTGAGACCTCTGTCCTATCTCCACCCGCAGGGCGTCTGAGGAGGCTTTCGTGAAGGAATCCAAGGAGGAGACCCCAGGCACGGAGTGGGAGAAAGTGGCCCAGCTGTGTGACTTCAACCCCAAGAGCAGCAAACAGTGCAAAGACGTGTCCCGCCTGCGTTCTGTGCTCATGTCCCTGAAGCAGACACCGCTGTCCCGCTAGGTGCTGCCGCCCGCCTGGCCACAGGGCGTGGGCAGGGGCAGGGCTGAGGAGCCGCGGCTGCGGGCAGGAGGGTGCAGTGCCTCTGGCAGCTGTTCCACACAGCCCGTTCCCTCCCTCCCCGCCTCCCAGGGCTGGGGAGGGAACACGCGCCCCTCTCACCCCCGTTCCCTCTTGGCCCTGAGTCCCAGCCCCTCACACCGCCTCTTAGTCCACAGAATTGTGACTGTCCCTCTGATGTATTTTTTTCTTGACTTAAAGGGTGTGTTGCTAATTCTTTTTACACTTTTTTTTTTTTTTTTTTTTTTTTTTTTTTTTTTTTACCGTTCTCATTGTTCTGGGAGCCACACGTGGGTCAGGGTTCGGTTTGTGCTTAGAGCTTGCCCAGCGTGGCCTGGGAGGAGAGGAGGCTCTTCCCTCGGGACCCAGGAGCACCCAGCTTGCCGTGGGCACCCTAGCTGCCTGTGTCTGCTGCCTCCGACTCCCGGGAAGAAAGACCACCTCTCCCAGAATGCTTTTGCAGCCTGATCCTTCCCAATCCTTGGACAAGCCTGTGAGATAAGGACTCGGTTCTCACAGTCCCAGACCCGAGGCTCCCAGAGGGAAAGGGGTGTGAAGTCGGAGGGAGGCCAGACCGGAAGTCCCCAGTGGAGGCTAAGTCAGGTTGAGGCCCGTGAAGGTCGCCTCTGCCAAACCCCCTTCCTTGTGACTCACGGGAGGGCCCACCGCTCTCCCTCCTTCAGCGGGGCCCCGCTGTGGATGTGGGATGAAAAGCATTGACCACACCTTCCTCCTGTTCAGCAAAGGCTGAAAACTGGTTACATTCAAAACTTTGGGACCTGCACAGTGTTCTAAATGAGTTAATTGCCAGCTCTATTAGTTTCCTAGAACTGTCACAACAGAGTCTGACTTCACATAACAGAGACTGTCTCTCTTCCGGAGGCCAGGAATCTGACTCAGTGTCAGCAGGGCCACGGGCCCTCCGACAGCACGATGTGTTTCAGCATTTCTTCCGGCTTCTCTGCCTCAGGTGCTCCTTGGCCTGTAGATGCACCAGTATAATCCCAGGTCCATTTGTACGTGGCCCATCCTCCGTGTCTTTGTCCACACTTCCCCTTTTTATTTTTTATTAAAAAAAAAATTAAAAAATATATTTTATTGATTTTTCAGAGATGAGAGAGAGTGAAGGTCGCCTCTTGCACACCCCCTACTGGGGATATGCCCGCAACCAAGGTACATGCCCTTGACCGGAATCGAACCCGGGTCCCTTCAGTCCCCAAGCTGACGCTCTATCCATTGAACCAAACCGGTTTCGGCACACACTTCCCCTTTTTATAAGGACACCAGTCATATGGATTAGGGCCCACCTTAGCCTCATTTGAATTTGATTACCCCTGTAAAGACCCTATTTCCAAATAAGGACACATGTGAAGTGCTGGGGTTAGGACTTCAGTGTATCTTTTTTGAGAAATTAGATTATTTATTTATTTTTTGGTTAATCCTCACCGAGGATATTGTTCAATTGATTTTTAGAAAGTGGGAGGGAGAGAAACAGATACATCGAAGTGAGAGAAGCACATCAATTGGTGCTTCCCACATACACACACCAGCAGGGATGAGCCTCCAACCAAGGTACAAGCCCTTGACCCTCCAGTCCACAAGCTGATATTCTACCCACTGAGCCAAACCGCTAGGGCTCAATGTATCTTTTTGGAGAGATACAATAATGCCTGCAGTTACAAAAAAGAAAAAAAAAAAAAAGAAAAAAAAAAGTGACCACCCCCTTAGGAGTGCCATCTTCCTCATCAATCTATGTTCCTTGGACCTTGAGGCCCAGGGACACCACAATGGGCTGAGCGGCCATCGTGGGGCAAGCGGATTAGCTGGCCCTGGTCACTCGCCTCCAATTAGAAATCAAGGCTGTGCTGGGGCTCGAGAAATGGCTGTCTTCCCTTTCCCGTATCTGGCAGCCTGCAGCTGGTGCTGAAGCTGACGGAGCACACGAAAGAAACCCGGGTCGGAGTGCACACGTCAGAGCTGACCACAGCCAGGAGCACCGGCGTGAGGTGCACGTGAAAGCGGGAGTCAGGGCGCTGCCTCTCTTTGCTCCGGGCCCAGAGCACTGGGCACGCGTAGGCGGGGTCATAGCAACGACCACAGGCTCCAGCTTCCTTCCCAACACGCCAGGCTGCTCCCCGCAGCCGCCTGCTGTTAGATGCTGCAGGCACCTCGCCAGGGGGTCCAGGTGAGCGGAGTCCCAGGGGCTCTCAGGGGTGGGAGTGGGCGAGGAGCAGGAGCAGCGGAGGGCCGAAGCCCCTGCCCCCGCCAGCACCATGAAAAGTCTCATCGGAGGGCAGGATTTTTTTTTTAATTTTTATTATTTTTTAAAATATATTTTTATTGATTTTTTACAGAGAGGAAGAGAGAGGGATAGAGAGTTAGAAACATCGATGAGAGAAAATCATCGATCAGGTGCCTCTTGCACACCCCCTACTGGGGATGTGCCCGCAACCAAGGTACATGCCCTTGACTGGTCCGCAGACCGACGCTCTATCCACTGAGCCAAACCGGTTTCGGCTATTTTTTATTTTATTTTTAATTTAATATATTACCACTTTCCGGAATCTCTACTTTTCTAAGGGCCGCTGCAGTATGTCTTTTTTTTTTTTCCTCCTAAAAATTTTGAGGGTGAGATTGAGAAGGAATTCGTAAAACTTAGAGTTTATTAAGTAGGAAGTGGATAAAGAGCGGCAGAAACAGAAGGATGCAATACCCAAACCGAACCGAACCAGAGAGTCCAGCAACAAACATCAAATGGCCGCTTCCTCCCCACGGACGCGGGGGCGGTGGGGGAGAAGAGGGAATGAGTTCGGCGGCAGGGCCGTTGGCTGCTCCTGCGGCTGGGAATGATCTCTGCGGGGCTCTCCGGGCTCAGGGTCCAGACTTAGACTTCAGCGCCGACATCGCCAGGCCCAGCAGGATGGCTGCCACCGTGAAGCCCTGGGCGGCGATCCGGGTGCGCATCATGAGCTGGGAGCGCTGGCTCTGTCCCCGGTGGAAGCAGTAGAGGCCGTAGGTGAGGGCGGCCGCCGTGCCCAGGCAGCCTGAGGAGGGTACAGAGCAGGTGGGGGTGGCAGGCCCGGCCCCAGCGGCCCCTCCCCGCTTTGGACTTTTTTCCCCCTGAGTTGAGGTTTTCAGGGTGGGGTGGGGTGGGGGGTCGGAAGGGGAGAGGCTGGAGGGATTGGCCCCAGCAGAGTCCCCGAAGTTACAGAGTCCGCCCCCTCGACTCCCGCCCGGCTCCAGCGCCAATCAGGTTCATCACGGCCCGGCCTTTCCGCCACCTCTCCGGTCCCTTCTCATTCCGGTGTCCCGGGACCTTCACTATTTCATTTCCCCCGAGAGCTCCGTCCTCTGCATCTTTAGTTCCTACTGTGCCCGCTTACCTATGGGGACCATTGGGTTCTCGCGAGTCTTGCGAATGAACTTTTCCTTGAAGCCTTCCGGATTGCTAAAGACAGTGGGACTAAAACCCTCAATAACGGGGGGCTGCGATGGTTCAAAGGGTGCCTGAGGAGTCATGGGGCGAGGATTCGCCATGTCTCGGGTAACCGCACCTGGAGAAAATGGGGACACTAGACTCCGCCTCCTAATGAAGTCATGAAAGGGGGCGGAGAAAAGGACTTTCCTGAGCGTTGTACGCAGGCGTATCCGCTTATTGCATTCTGGGAGTCGTAGTACTCAGCATGGCAGCGCTCTCGGGGAGGACTACATTTCCCAGAAAGCCCGCGAAGCCCTGCGCGTGCCCGCTGGAAGGAGTCCGCTACGCGAGGTGCTGGAAGTGAAGGCGCGGAGTCTGAGTTGCGGGCACGGTGGTCAGCGGGATGTTCCAAGGCGGAGAGGAAGACCCGAAGGCGGAAGTTCGGTTACAGTGTTAACCGGAGCGTCTTAACCGGAATGCTAGACAGATGGCAGCGCTACGGATCGGGTGGTGAGGTAGCCGGGTTTTAGGAAACGGGGCCTGCCCTTGACCCAGACTTCCTGGACCGGAAAACTGGAGCCTGGATTTATGGCAAGGAGGGGTATGTTATTACAGATGGAACCTCATGGAATCAAAACGTCTTCCTTCCTCCCTCTCTTTTCCCACTTCCTCCTCTCTTCTTCGCTTCCCTCCTTTAAAAAAAAAATTAAAAAATATGTTTTATTGATTTTTTTACAGAGGAGGAGAGAGGGATAGAGAGCTAGAAACGTCGATGAGAAACATCGACCAGCTGCCTCTTGCACACCCCCTACCGGGGATGTGCCCGCAACCAATATACATACATGCCCTTGACCGGAATCGAACCTGGGACCTTTCAGTCCGCAGACCGCCGCTCTATCCACTGAGCCAAACAGGTTTCAGCGCTTCCCACCTTTCTTACTCCCTCTCTGGGGAAAGGAGGCTTCAATTTGTGTTATTCTGGGGCGCTAGGAAAAGCAAGAAACTGCTCGTTTCAGAGTGGGTGGTTTGTTTGAATATATTGTATATATAATAAAACAAAGGTGTTTTACTTCTCTAATGGTTTTGTGTTTTCCCCTCCCAAGCAGGGGGTGGGGGTGGGGGTGGGCACTGGGCATTTTCTTAGTCTTGATAGTTTGCCCTCAGCTAAACAAAAATCCTCTTATTCCTCTTTTATTTCTATAAGTCACTGCAGTTGGAAAGAGGAGCTTAGTGTTCTTACATAGATCCTTTCACATAAAACCCACAGGGGTCTGTAGTTTTATCTTCATCTTAAGAACAGCCTTGAGAAGTGTTAGTGGGGGGGTTGTAGTCAAGTCTTTCTAATGAGTAAGCCTAGGCTTTCACTTAATGTCTCTCCTGTTGGTTCCTGAAGGCAGCTCATCCATTCCACACCATCAGGACATTAGGCTGGAAACTGGTCTGTCCCAGAAAGCCCTCCCCTATTGGACTCTCCCTGGCCCTTATGCACTGCCAGCACAGCCTTCAGGATGTAGTCTGCAGCCGAGCTCCTGAGGGCCTTTGCTTTTGGCCTTGTAATTTTTATCCTTCAGAGCATCCCAAATCCAGGTCTTTGACTAGGCTGTCCCCTTACCTTGTTGATTTACTCAGTTCAGATGCCAGTTTTAGGAAGCTTTCCTTACCACTATTTCCTCTTCCCAGGCTGTGGAAGTGTCTTGTAGTTCCAATGCCCCAGACTTCCTGTTAACAATCAATCCTATTACAGCCATAACTGCCTTTTAATCTGCTTGACGTCTCCTACCAGACTGCATGAGTGCAGGGACCTTGCCTAGAAATCCTGAGCCTGGCCCACGGCAGGTGCTGGGGGAATGAGTAGAATGACTGACTGCATGGCCCTTTGGGCTCACGGAGTTCTGAGATTAAAATTAAAAAAAAAAATTAAAAAAATATATATATATTTGTTATTTTACAGAGAAGAAGGGAAAGGGATAGAGAGTTAGAAACGTCAATGAGAGAGAAACATTGATCAGCTGCCTCTTGCACACCTCCTACTGGGGATGTGCCCGCAACCAAGGTACATGCCCTTGACTGTAATCGAACCTGGGATCTTTCAGTCCGCAGGCCGATGCTCTATCCACTGAGCCAAACCGGTTAGGGCTTTTATTGATTTTTTACAGGGAGGAAGGGAGAGGGATAGAGAGTTAGAAACATCAATCAGCTGCCTCCTACTGGGGATGTGCCCACAACTAAGGTATATACCCTTGACTGTAATCGAACCTGGTACCTTTCAGTCTGCAGGCTGACACTCTGTCCACTGAGCCAAACCGATCAGGGCTCTGAGATTTTTATTGGCACCTCTTTGCGGAGGACCTGAAGGCTGTGTCTGATTGATTTCAGTCCCTCACCAGTCCTTACAAACGGTTCCACTGCATCAGCGTAAGCTGGTTTTGTTGGTTTAATTGCAACCAAAAGCAAAGACTCATTAGAGCAATTCCCAAGGCTGTGGCTCCATAGAATATAACAGTCATCATGTCCCAAAAGAGTCCTGCCATCAAATATGCTGGAGATATGGTGGATTCTTTTTTTTTTTTTTTTAATATATTTTATTGATTTTATACAGAGAGGAAGAGAGAGAGATAGTTAGAAACATCGATGAGAGAGAGAGTTATCGATCAGCTGCCTCTTGCTTATCCCCTACTGGGGATATGCCCGCAACCAATGTACATGCCCTTGACCGGAATCGAACCCGGGACCTTTCAGTCCCCATTGAGCCACAACCGGTCCTGGTGATATGGTGGATTCTTTCATCACCACTTTTCCACTGGTGCACATTAGCACATGGAAGTTTTTGAAAGTTGTAAATATTTCTCTCTTTTCTGTGGCCGGTACGGCTAGAGAGTGGTCTGGTTCCTGAGTAGGGACTTCTGGGGATTGAGAAAATGAAAGGAAGAGAGAGACACAGAGATAGAAGGGAAGAGTTGGGGCTGGGTGGGAAAGCTGTCCTCAGAGGGAGAGACTGATCCAGAGCCTATACAGCTCCTTTACTTTTACAGCAGAATAATACCAGGAAGTTTTACGAAAGCCTAAGACTAGGGGTGTTGAACTCAATCAGAGAAGGGGCCAAAATCTAAAATCCAGCCTAAATCGCGGGCCGAATGGTTTACTGAACAGTCAAAAACTGTCATTGTGATGGAAACACAGCGGAGTGCAGTGATGACAGCGAGGTGCGGGCCACATTGCAAGGCCTGGCGGGACGGATTTGGCCCGCGGGCCTTGTGTTTGACACATGTGGCCTAAGACAAGGGAGATTATGAGCATTCTGTGGCTTCTTTGTAATTATCACTTCTGGGTGGGCCTGGATAATCTGATAATCGTGTTTGTTCCTGGTGCTTGGCTGGATTTAGATAATGAAACCCACCTCCTGGCGCCTGAACTGAAGGTCAGGCTGACAACACACATGCCTCTGGCAAGGTGTATTTCCAGGAAGTTGCTTGACACTGGACTCAGCTGACAATACTTAAAGAAATGCTCTTGTGCCTTCCCAGGTGCGCTCTCTACAGAAAGACTGGCTTTGAAGATCCCTTTCGACTGAGTTTTCTGAGTGCTTCACCACAGTCCTTTTCTGGAGAACACACAAGGTTCACAGAACATTGAGGCAACTTCAGTTATATTGTTAGTAATTGCTGAGATACCACATTCGTTCCTCCAGGGCCAGTAGGTGACAGGAGCCCCAGGTGGGGAACTTTTTTTTTTTTTAATTTTTATTTTATTATTATTTTTTTAATCAATCTTTATTGTTCATATTGTTACAGAGGTTCCTCATTTCTTCCCCCCCTCCACCAGGTTCCCACCCCACCCTCCGCATCCCCCATTGTCCTTATCCATAGGTGCAGTTTATGTTCAGTCTCTTCCTCCCTCCCTTTCCCCCATAGTAAATCCCTTTTCAGATAGTAAATCAGTTACTTAGCATTTTCTCATATCAATAATACCACCACATGCCCAATGATACATTTCACATAAAATACATTTCCAAATAGGTCAACCAGCCTCATCCAGGCCCCACCCAAGGCACTCACAGATTAACACCCCAGCCCTATACTAACTCAACACATCCAGATCTAAGCCTTCATCACTTGATTCAGCAGACCCTCAAGTTCCCGCAAAAGTTTCCGGCCATGTCTGAGAGGCAGCCGTGGGGCAGGGGCAGGCGAGGAGCGAGCTGCTCCAGGCCTGGCCTCTGTTGCTCTGGTTCGTTCCACAACCAGCTGCTCCGGGTCTGGTCACCGCCGCTCCCGACCTAGTTGCTCTGGACCTGGCTGCTGCTGCTCCGGGCCTGGCCGCACCTTTCCCGGCTGCTCTGGGCCCGGCCGCTCCGGGCCTAGCCGCTCCCAGTCTGGCAGCTGCTGCTCCAGGCCTGGCTGCACCAGACCCGGCTGCTCCGGGCCTGGCCGCTCCCAGCCTGGCAGCCGCTGCTCCGGGCCTGGCAGCTGCTGCTCCGGGCCTGGCCGCACAAGACCCGGCTGCTCCGGGCCTGGCCGCTCCAGGTGGGGAACTTTTGATGGAGAGGTAATGATCAGAGAGCGCGAGGGTGGGCAGGGGTGGAGGTACAGGAGGAAACTTTAGGGTGGCAAGGGAAGACCTCTCTGAGGAGGCGAGGCCTGCACTCAGTCCTAAATGACAAGAAACAATAAGCCATGAGCAACAGGTCTGGGGGAAGAGCATTCCTGGAAGAGGTGACAAATGAAGAGGCCCTAAGGCAGAGCCACGCCAGGCTTCCTCCTATGCCAAGGTTATTCCCGGGGCTCCAGGTCAGAGGGCACAGGGCTGGGGACCTCTGGATAAAGTACCCCAGAGTAGGCTGGCAAAGCAGCCTTTCTCAGTGGCAGCAGAGCATCACTAGTTCAGGGAAAGGCAGGCAGCTCTGAGACCTGTTCTGCCTCCACCTGCAGAGCATCTGAGGGGAAAGTGGCCAGCTGTGTGACTTCATCCCCAAGAGCAGCAAACGGCACAAAGACATGTCCCGCCTGCCTTCTGTGTTCATGTCTCTGAGGCAGACACCATTGTCCCTCTAGGATCTAGAGGTGACCAGACTTCCCGCTTTTGGTGGGCAGCCCTGATTTTTAACAATCTGTCCCATGCTCTGAGGCGTTTTAAAAAAGTCCTGATTTTTGGAAAGAAAACGCCGCGGGCCGCGGGACGAATTGTTAAAAATCGGGACGTCTGGTCACCTTACTCTAGGTGCCTGCCACCAGCATGGCCACAGAGCATGGGCAGGGTCAGGAGAGGAGGAGCAGCTGCTTCGGGCAGGAGAGTGGAAAGTAGTTAGTTACCTACAAGTAAGTATCCGTAAGACTCAGCTGATTTCTCAACACTAACTTTGCAAGCCAAATTGGAGTGGCAAGAAGTATTCCAGTGGCTTTTTTGCTGCTGTGGCAACAGCCATGGGTATGATCAGGCTTCAAAGGAGGCTTGTCTCCAGTGTCCTCTGCTAAAAGAAGGTCTGGTTGTACCCCAAGGAGACCAGTGAAACAGCCAATGCCAACTCCCGTCAGTAGGTTCAGAAGGTGATCAAAGATAGGCCGATTATCTGGAAGCCTGTGGCTGTCCATTCCTGGGCTCGATGCCAGA